CCAGTAATCCGGTGTAGTTCGAGTTCCTGTCCTCACCCTGAGGCAGCTGCCTTGAACCACAGCAGAGTGCCATCCAAAGCAAACACACCACACACACACACACACACACACACACACACACACACACACACACACAACATATACATACTTTTTAGGCTGAATATACACTATGGGAAAACTGGTAAGGTGAATGTAATACTGTGTCTCAACTCTTTACTACAAACTAACTATGCTTTCTAAGGGACATGACAGTCTTGGAGATGTTAGATTAGAGGAATATGTATCCAACAGTAGGTGATATGACACTGTCAGAAACAACGGACGACGATACTAGACATAGACCTGCACAAAGACCCTTCTGAAATATACCAATCAAGTCATATAATCTAAAAACCCTTGATGACGATGACGAAGATGAAAACTCAACAGAAATTATTGATGCAATGTTCTCTCAAATGTTAATCTCTGTAAGTTAGTTTGACCGAACTTTGACGTGAGTCCGTTGCTTAGGTCAAATAATCAAGGTAGATTTGAGGATTTTCATTCATAGATTTTCTGTAGTTTCAATTTTATCTCACAGGTTTTGATATTACTTTATATTGAGGTTTGCAGTTGTCTAGTACGGCGTGTTCTACATTATTCCTTCGTAATATTTCTAATACATCTCCAAGACTGTCAATGTCCCTTAAGAAAGCATAGGTTAGTTGTAGTAAAGAGTTTGAGACCACAGTATTACATTCACCTATACCAGTTTTCCATAGTGTATATTCAGCCTAAAAGTATGTATGTGTGTTGTGGTACATGTTGTGTGTGTGTGTGTGTTGTGTGTGTGTGTGTTTGCTTTGGATGGCACTCTGCTGTGGTTCAAGGCAGGCTTGCCTCAGGGGTGAGGACAGGAACTCGAACTACACCGATTTACTGGACGATATAAAAAAACACAGAATCTCTTCTTTCTTGTTCAGAGGCTGAACAGTCCCAGAGCACACTGCTCACAGGGTGTGTGTGTGTGTGTTTGTTGTGTGTGTGTTGTGTGTGTGTGTGTTTGTGTGTCTGGGAACTGCTCCCTGGCAACTTTCAGAAATCCGAACTCCATTAACCTAAAAACAGAACCAGGGAGAGACTGAGATGATGATTGTTGCACTTCTCTTCACGGACAACTCACTGCGCATTTGTGTGCTAAAATTGAACTGTTGTATGTGAAGACGGGAAGAAAGGAAAGCGGTTGTTGTCGTTTCATTGTGTTGTATCTCTTTTTGTACTCTTTTGTGCCTTGACCTTAAAAAGTCAAGAATGGTATAAAGTGGCTTGTAATCAACTACAGCACTGATGTTAAAATTACACTGTGAAAGAGAATCACTTCAATGAAGCTTATAGAGAATTCATCAACGTGAATCTGCAAGCTCCTGCTCAGTTTACAGATGCTTATACTGAGTGTTCCAGCTCATTGTTTAACTCGTCTTACCGCACCACTCTCGACAGCAGCAACTGTTTGATTGAATAAACTGATTATAATATTTTTTAAATGATGGCACATGACATGAAATGACACTTGATATATGTCCAAACAAGAAGAAAACACACACAGCATTGTCATGTTTAAAATGAGCGACTGTGAGGAGAGACATGTTCACACAAGACAAGGAAATTGTGCAAGGGAATTTGAGTCACACAATTTATAATATGGTTTTGATTTCTAAAGCTTTTCAGTAAATTACTGTTTTATAAGTCTAATTTTTCAAATTTTTCTTTCTTCATTATATTTGCCGGATGTATAAGTTAATAAACTCCAGCTGTCAGAGATATTTTTCTCTTTTTTTTTAAATGAATGTTGTATGTAATGCTGTTGATATTATTTTTTGGGCATATTGCCAAGCCTGCTGTCCAGTTATTTTATTCACTAGCAGTTTCTTAGTTAATTTTCCATAATTTTTTATTCTCCATATTCTTTGGTATGGAAAATTCCTTCATACTGTGATAGAGGATTTTCTTTTCCATAACAAATTTACAGTATTAGCAATGTGTTTAAAAACATTTTGAATCTGACTTTTCTAAAACCCAGACCACCGTTGTTTTGAGTGTCCTGTGGGTCAGGGGGCGGGGCTAAAGGGTCCACATTGAGGACATCCGCAGTGTGTCAGATTTTTTCCTGGTGAGGTACAGGAAGCCACTGCAGAGTAAACTCAGGCTTTATTTCTGAGCTGTCCCTCCAATTTTTTCATCTGGAAGAACTGGGTTAACTGGGCGACATGACTCTGCAACAGGATGACAGGGAGTCACGTATAGCTATCCACACACACACGGACACACACACAACACCTTCTCACACACATATTACGGTTTCATACACTAGCGTGCCCTGGCTTTGACGCCAAGAGAACTTCAGTGACTGAGACAGGGTGGGTGTTTGTGCGTGTGTTGTGGTGTGTGTGTGTGTGTGTTGTGTGTAGTGTGTGTGTGTGTGTGTGTGTTGTGTGTTGTTGTGTGTGTGTGTGTGTGTGTGTGTGTGAGACACCCACATGGGCTGTTTTGTTGCTATTTGCGTGTTACTTCCTTGAAAATGCTAGTATTCATCAATGGAGATGACACCAGAGCGCTCATTGTGGAAGGACAAATGGGGTGTGTGAGAGAGAGAGATTTAGTTAAAAAGGGCAGGAGACTTGTGCAATGTATATTCCACCTGATGTGAAAAGTTAAGCTGCAGGTTCATTAACAGCTTTTCCCTAATTTTAATGCTGAATGATCACAAATTAATCAACTTATATTTTATTGAGAGAAAACCTTTAGATCATAGAGTCGTTTATTAAGCAGTGATCAGTTTCCAGCTTTACCATGTTTGGATTTGTTGCTTTCCTCTGGTTTAAACTGTTGTAAACTGAATCTCTTAGGTTTGATAACTTATGGTTGGACAAAACAACCATCGTTAAAACCCTTCACCATTTTCCTCTATTTTTTAAAGATTAATAAAAAAGAATAAATCAACAGGTTAAATTGATCATCATAATAATATTTTGTACACCGCTACTCAAATTGTTCTCATAAAGAATAAACTACAGATTCTTCCAAAAATCAAACAACTACTGCCATGTGGGACATGGACCTGATGAAGACCATCGAATTTGAACATATGGGTCAAATGATAGGACGCTACTTGACCCAGTTAAACCCAGCAGCACATCAGCCAAAGAACACGCCACTGCACACGCCACACGACGCGCCACACAGCACCAAAGCCACACACACACACAACACACACACACACACACACAACAACACACCACACCTCTATAAGTGGATTTTAGTGGATACCACTATCTTATATACACTACACATCACACACACACACACAACACACACACACACACACACCACACACAACACACACACCTCTCTGATAAGAGGTGGATATGGCTGGAACCCACTTTCCCTTAACGTATAATTCACACTTCAACACACACACACACCACACACAGCCACCGACACCACACACACACACACACACACACACACACACACACACTCTCTGATAAGAGTGGATTTATGGCTGGGAACCACTTTCCTTAACGTATATACACACTCACACACACACACACACAGCCACACACACACACACACACACACACGTACCTGCATATTAAAAGTGTCCTTAAAAGAGTTAGGGAACAAACATTAATAATAATTATTATTATCATTATTGATTGATTGATTAATTAAAAATGAATAAGTAATTAAATGAGTGATAGACTTGCAACATAATTTCAAATGAAAATGGCATAAAAACAGACTCAGAATACAAAAACAGGCCTATACAAACGACTGTACATATGTACAGCAAGTCACCTCCTGTTTCCACCAGGTTGAATGTGATTGGAAGTTTACATTCAGTACTATCACACTTGTTTACTGTTTGGGTGAGGCAGGTTCTTTGATAAGCTAAACTTGATGTTTAAATGGGACAGTATAGTACAAGCTGTTTCACAAGTGCCTGCAGTAAATCAGTTACAAATCTAACACAAAGGTCTTAATAGACGTTTCATCAGCATCATAGATGGACAGCATTTATGAAATGTGGCCTGGAATTGAAATCAGTTTATGCTATGTTGAAATATTTCCATGGGCAATGTCACTATTTTATTGAAGTCTTTCAGCTCTAGTAACTTAAAAAAAAGAGATCAGTACTCTGATGCTGATTGGATGAGCATACTTGTTTTTAAATTTTACCCTCAATCCCTCCCTTCAACTGTTGTCCTCCATGCTTACCAAAATGTTCCTCTTTGTCACAGTCGACACATGTCAGTGGCTCTTAACCTGGCAGTTGGGACCCCCCAAATCATATTTCTTGAGGTCTTTCCAGACAGTAAGAAAAATCAGTCTTTCTTTGAATTATGACGGATTCTATGAGGGATCACGCTGATCTGTGGTACTGATGCGAGTTACCAAGGGACAGCTCAATCAGAATGTTTTTGATTCTGGTTGATTAAGTATTTCCAGGCCCTAACAGTCAGAAGACTGGCTTGGTATTGAGAGATAAAAGTGAACTGTGATGAATTAGTGCAGTAAAACCGACCTTCAATACCTTAGTGAGGAAAAAAGCTCCTCGAATACTGTGACTGTGCTGCCCCTTAGAGGACAAAGACAAATATTGCAGACCCTGACACGTACATGTACCTTGAGGTGAGATTGTTTTGTCAAGTGACGTTTCCAAACTAGATGCAAAATAAGCAAACCTCAATATTCACATTAACCCTCGACCTTTTAGTTGATACCAATGGTTGCTACACCCTGCATGACTTTTCGCTGCTCGCTGTGTGAACCATGCCTGCTTTGTGGAAATGATCCATGTGCGTTTGCTTGGATTAAACCCTGACAATATGTTGTCAAACCTTCGTCTTACTTTCACATTTAAAAGTCTGTAATTTCCCTCTTGTTGATGTTCAAGCGCTTGAGTTTGTAAGGTTTTGTAAAGAAATCTTAACAAAGAGACCACACAAATTATTCTGTAGGAAATTATAACAACTCTCAGAACATTTTAATATTTCATCAAAAACTTAAAATACTCTCTGGTTCCAGCCTGTCAAATGTGACGATTTGCTGCTTTTCTCTGTTTTCATATTGTTTTATAGATAATGTTTACACTGTATATATGGGTTTTGTTCTGTTGTTCGAGGAAAAACAAAACATTTAAAGACATTGGGCTTTTGATGGGCATTGTTAAAAATTTTCTGACATTGCATATATCAAACAGTAATAGGTTCAGTTAGAAAATTTTCATTTTTGCATGTAACTTTTTTTTCCCCGTTATCGATAAATCTGCTGATTGTTGTCTCGAATAACTGATTATTTGGTCAGAAAATGGTGAAAAATGTCCATCACAAAGCCAAAGCTGACATGTTTAATTTACATTTTTTCTTTCTTTTTTTTTTTTGTCTTGACAGACAAAACCCCAAAGATATTCAGTCTACTATCAAAGAATTATCATGATGAAGTGAAAAAGAAAATAATCATAAGTAGTGGATTGAACAAAATACATCAGGCTTTGCAGATGTGCATAGTGCAAACACACACATTCTGCAGAAAAGCCTGTACATTGTTTTACTCTCTGGTTTCTAAATAAGAGTCCTCACAATCCCTGCTCAGTATCAGTCTCTGCTGCCCCCCTGTGGCGCTGAGCATGTACTGCAGGAATCAGGAGCAGGTCACTCCAGCTCGTAGGAGCTGCTGTCCAGTTGGACCCTGAGGGACTTGAACGGTGGCCTGTCATCTGGTTGGGCACTCCAACATTTCAACATGATTTGATAGAAAAAATCGGGGCATTTGGCTGGAGCTGGCATCCGGTATCCTTTGCTAACCTGATGGAACACTTCTTGGTTGCTGTAGGCTGAGGGAAAGAGCAAAGGATGGCGTCAAGGAGGTAAAGAAAGAGGATGTAGTTGGGACAGAAGTGCAGAAGTGCTGAGGTGAGGTTTAACATTTGTTCCCACTAAAACACCTGTAGATACACCTGGGGCCTTTCTCAGCATAGTCTCCTGCAAACTTTAGTTCTGATGGTGGCGAGCTTGAAAAATTCACACAGCAACTACAGTGCTGTGTTTGGTTTGATGCGGTATATCTTCCAGCTAATGCAAACGTGGTATGAATCAAGATTGTGATCTTGAAAGGATTAACCATGTAGCCCTAAAAAGACGACTAACCTTACAGTAGATACAAGATGTCCAAGGTGCTTGAACAGAGCATAAGACTAACAATAAATGTGATGAGATAAAGAAACTTGCACTATTTTTACAAAAGGTGTTAGGGTATAGGCTGTAGGGAACTGAAAGTAAGTGACTAGGGTTAGCAAATATATTTAAACACAGTACAGTATACTTTTTGTGGTTTAGCAGAAATGTAACAGCAGCACACAGGACAGTAGTTGCTGCGTGAATTTTTCAAGCTTGCCACCATCAGAACTAAAGTTTGCAAATAACTCATTTTTAATGGCCAGTGTGAACAGGAAGGATGACTACTGTAAACAAAACTCATGTCAATTTAAATATGGTTATGCAAGTATTGTTTTAAGACAGATTTAAAAAATGTGAACCTATCTTTTGGTTGGTTCACAGTTGGACTACGAGAGTCAGTCTGATAGGGGTATGAGTTACCCTATGGTTCAAGGAATGCTGAGAACAGCAGATAAGAAGCTCGGAAAGCGAGCTCTGTCCTGGGCTGCCCCCTAGACTCCATTGAGGAAGTAAGTGAGAGGAGGACGTTAGCTAAGCTGACATCCATCATGAACAACAACTCTCACCCCTGCATGACACTGTAGGGTCTCTGAGTAGCTTCTTCAGCAGCAGACTTTTACATCCTCGCTGTAAGAAGGAGAGGTTCCGCAGGTCCTTCATTCCAGCAGCTGTCAGACTCTACAACTCCTGCTCTTCCTGACCATGTGCAAACTTGCACTTTTTCATGTACATATCGTGTGTATTGTGTATATTGTATTTATTGGTGTATATTGGGTGTATATTGGTGTATATTTGGTGTATTTTTGATGTATATTTCCATAGATGTTTATTCCATAGATGTTTGTTTTCTGCTTTGGTGAGTGAATTTCCCAGTTGTGGGATTAATAAAGTTAATCTAATTAATCTAAGTAAAATATTTTATCCCGATGGCACTGAACTGGTGACATTCTTGCAAACTTTGACCTCTCCAGACATTCAAGAAATGTTTTCCACAAGGACTTCATCTCATTTCATAATCACCATTAATCATTAACTGAAAGTGCTTTTAAAAGATATTTTTGAACTAAAAAACAAACAAAAAAAACAAAAAAAACATGTCATGTCATTCCACCAACCTGGGTAAGGAACACCTCCATAGGTGATTATCTCAAAGAGCAAGATCCCAAAAGACCAGACATCTGACTTGTTGGAGAACTTTCCATGGCTGATGGCTTCGGGAGCGCTCCACTTGTACGGAATCTTTTTATCTTCTGTGATGTAAAATGGCTCCTGGATGGAAAACCTTTTGTCTTTAAAAACTTCATTTTTTTATTTCACATAAAAGAAGGACACAGAAACACTTCCTCCCTCCACACGTACCTTGATCACTCTGGCCAGTCCAAAGTCAGCCACCTTACAGATGTAGTCTCCTCCCACCAGGACGTTTCGAGCCGCCAAGTCTCTGTGGATGCTGTTTTGCTCCTCCAGGTATGACATCCCATCAGCCACCTGGGCACCCATGTCAATGAGTGACGCAATGTCTTGAAGCTGCCCCTCTGGACCTGAGACAGAGAAAACAAACACAGAGAAAACAACAGAGAATCAGACACAACAAGAAACTTAAGGATTTATTGCAGGACTGCATGTTTTTCCTAATAAAATGGCAATTGGGTGCAGTTGAGTGCAGAAGTGAAAGAAACAACATCAAAACTGAGAGACTGACTGAAGTTTTAGATCACACCATGCTTGGCAAATAATAACTTACCATAACCGAATCTCACCCTAACCCTAGGACATCAACTAGTTCTTACTAAAGACACCATTAGAATAACACTGAGGTTTACTTCTGAGGAAGTGGAGCAGGCTGCCTTTCTCCATCAGCTCGGTGATGATGTAGTATGGTGCTGAGGCCGTGCACACAGCAAACAGGGAGATCAGGTGACGATGCCGGAGATTCTTTAGGATCTGGACTTCCCTCTGAAACTCACGGTGGTTCAACTCTGAATCTAGAGAAAGAGTCAGAAAGAGAATTGAAAGGAATGAAGAAATAAAGATAAAGAGGAACAGAGACAAAATAAGAACAGGGGAGGGGGAACCAGACAAACAAAACCACGGAAACCACTTTGAAATCTTGACCATTTGACAAATATGACATACTCATCATTATAAAGGAACACGCACTGTGATGCTTACTAAATATACTGTGAGTCAGAACTTAAAATGAAACTGTCAAAGATGTGATTTTCCGTGCTTTGCAAACATTAGGTGAAGAGAAATGTTCAAGCATCACAATGATATTACAAGTGCAGTTTTGGTACCATGTCTTGTCTTCGAATAAATCATGCTAACTGTAGTAATCATACAGCGTATTTTGCAAGTAAGCAGTGTGACTTTGTGCAGTGCCAGTACACTGAGACACACAACGGTAATCTCTTTGCATGCGGTTGTGAGATTATTGTGAGGGATTTGTCTTTGGGGAAAAGAGAGAAAGGCAGCATTACTTTGTCCAAATCTTCTATGAATGGAATCTTCCATTAATATTAAAACAAACTCACTACAGTTTATAACGGATCTATTGCCAGCAGCCATGTAGGAAATTGGACTGTGGAACTGCTCAAACTGCACCACAACTGACCAAAAAAAATCTCACTTGCCACAGAAAATCCATCGGATCATCTAAATGCTCATTGATCATTCGGATAATAAATCAGGTATTGTGACCCCCATTGAGCGGAACATTAAATAACAATGGATGTGGCATAAATTCAGTGTGATTCTAAAAGTATTCCGCATTTATTAGACTGAATATTTATTGAATGAATGTATAGGTAATTCTAACAAGCCCACACAGAATTGTGCATAGACTCACATTTGTCTACAGAAACAAAATTGCTTAAAAACATCACTGATGTTGTGATACTGATCTGGTGGTGTTGTCTTTGTCAGTCTGGTTTACATGAATGAAAGAGAAAAAGATGCTGAGCTATACTGCCTTACAAAGGCATGACAGCAAGTAACCACAAAAATAAGTATAGATGCTTTTTTTGGAGGCCCTCTACCTATAAAAATCAGATACTGTACCCTCTTTGTTTGGACAGTCTAAATGGCAACAAAGCTAGTGTAGTTGGCTTTTAGCAGGACAAAGCTATATGGTATTAGTCTACAGTTTTTATCCATTATGGTTAAATTTTACTAGTGTCTTTTTTTACGTGGTTTTATATGGTTAACAAACTCAATCACTAAGAAGTCAGAGCGTCAATATTGATATGTCAATTACAGGAGACTGGACAGAAGGAGGTCTAGAAATTAGCTGCAGTCACTGTGATTGACTTATTAGTAGGTTAATCAATTAGTTGATTGCTAATTTCAGTAACTGATTAATCGTGTTTATTTGCCTAAACTAAAATAAACTACAATGAAACTAAAATTGTCTCTCATTCTCTGATTCCAGCTTTCTTTGTTTTATTCCATTGTAGATTGAATATCTTTTGGGCTGTTACAGTAAATGATGTTTGTTAGTTAAAACAGTTTTCATACGTCATCATATTTGATGATAACTTTATGATAGTCAAACAAATGGAAACAAAGATTGAGGGTCAGTCTACAAGTGTAAGCGGAAACTGGGACTGAACAGAGAGACGGTGCACAGGGCATGATAGTGTCTGTAATACTGCAGTGTGGAAAAGAAAGACGTCTTTAGCAGTGTGAACACAAATGTGCCACATTGAAGGGCCACCTACTGTACTGACGTCCTCTGCCACAGTTTAATTAGTCCCAACACAGCTTGATAATGAACTGAAAATATTTTACTATTTCAAATGAATAAAACCTTATTTCATTTTAAGAGCTGTGAGCAGCTGTTCAACCCGACTTTGCTCTGCTCTCTCTCTCTCGCTCGCTCGCTCTCTCTCTCTCTCACTGATACACACAAGCACAATGACATGGATGTTTATTTGCTTATAAAGTGAGGAAGTGAGATCCGATCACAAGTGGTCACTCGAGATGCATGTGAAGACCCACTTTAAAGCCAGGTGTGAACTGACCACTTGTGATCAGATCACTGAAGACGCATGTAAATGGCAGGTCTGTGACACACACAGTATTGGTGCATTTATAAAAGCAATATCCCATCTGAGCTACTGTTACAACATGTTTGGTCACAGCAACCTCAAATTGCTCCAGCTTGTTTATGTCGTCAGCATGCTTTTGAAATCAAAATGACAAGTGGATCCTGGGTTTTACTACAGTGAACAGTACACTTAGTGTTGAGCTCTGTGATACACTTGTGTACAGACTACAGTTTTCGCTGCTTTGCTTCATGCTTCTGTGATGGTCACTGTACTTCCTGCAAGTGTTTGTTACGGTTGTTGTGAATGAGACCAACATATTGTGACTATTTAAATAATAGTGAGGTTAACATTGACACATGCTTTACACCAAAAAATTAATTTCTACTTAAAAAGAACAAAAATATTTAACTGATTGTTGCACAACAGTCAATTTTGATGAGTAGTCCAAATATGTCCCTTAAATTCCACTGTAATGATGACTGTATTGCTAGTTATGTATGACGGTGTATCATTGGGGATTACCATGGTAACTCGCACTCACATTCAGTCTTTACTGGTTAAACCACCTACAGTTTCACTCAAATGTGGTCTAACGTGTTATTGACAATGCATATTTGTATTTTTCCAATTTATACGGGCATAAACAGCTGTGATTCAAACACCTGAGTCAGACCTTTAACCAATTACATAAGAGGGCTTTTAGGAAATATCATTGGTCCAGGATGGCTTTAGCTTAGTTTTGCACAAATACTGGAAGCAGAAGAAACAGCTGGACAGCTGCGAGTAGACATTAACACACAATGAGTCAGCTGATGAGTTAGCGACACAACATATTCACGTCATCTCCAACTCAGTGGATAGTTTATATTAAAGAATCCTCAGCAGTTTTCTCTGTCACAGTAACCTGAAAATGTACATCCTGGTTTCATGTTGTTGTTTGAAGAACACCTGTACACCTGCTTATACATGTAATTATCCAATCAGCCAATCATGTGTCACAAGTGGAATGCATAACATCCTGCAGACACAGATCAGGAACTTCAGTTTTTGTTCACATCAAATGAAAAGTGTTGCATTTGAAAAGCTGGAAGCGGAGGGTGTTTTTGCTTGATAAAGTGACTTAAATAATGAATAGTCAAAATTATTGGCTCCAATTTTATTTCATGTCTACTAACTAAAATAATGAACTAACTGTTTCACCACTACCTCTAATATAGCACATGCAAAGTTTTGTTGAGACAAACCTGGGTCAAAACTGGATTAACAAGGCTGTGCACACCTGTGGATCACAGACTCACTTCAGTCTGTGTTGCTGTGTCTCTATTTGCGTACTTCCATACTCACACTTCCTATTGCTATGAGTGCCTACGTGTGTTCACATTCACAAGTACACACACCGCAACATGCAGTGCACTATAAGTGGTGCAAAGTGAGCAAAGCAGGCGGGTGACAATCGCAGTCACCTGTTGCGTCATTTCCAGTGAGTGCACAATGGCAGTGTTTAATTTGGGACAACACTTCCCTGTCGAAATTCACGTACTACACCAGTGAGTGTACTGTGTACACAGTGTACTACATGTGAGTGTGACTTAAGTATCTGAATTGAGACACAGCAACTGTCTCTTTACTGGGTGGGAAAAAACTGCATTATTGTAATGAGTTTTTAAAGCCCCCAGTCTCACTTCTGTCAAACCTGCAGCTTCACCAGAGTCCACAGTGGTCAGATCTTAAACCAGATATTTTTTCCTTACCTATTCCTAAACAAAAAACACCACTTTATTACAACCCAGTGATCTGACTAGATCACTCTAATGAAAAAAAAGATGAAAATGTAGTTGGAGAAAAAGATGTTTCCCTCTTGATCTCGCTTTTGTGATTTGTGGAGCTTAGCACCAAACAAGTCCTCATAATAATCATAATCAGAAACCTATTTATTAAAGTCAGCCGTCATTAGATCAGCAGAGATGATGAAATACCACTTTTGATGATCTTGATGGCGACATTGATGTGGTTTTTCCAGTGCCCCCGGTAGACATCAGCAAAGTAGCCACTGCCCAGCTCCTCCTCCAGGGTGAACTCTTCTTTCGGGAGCTCCCACTCATCCACCGTAAAATGATTCAAATCTGGGGTGTTGGGCTTTTTCTGAAGGAGGGAACACGCACGCACGCGCACACACACACACACACACACACACACACACACACACACACACACACACACACACACACACACTCTTTCAGGACACAAATACAGTAATACATCCCAATTTAAATGGGTATTGTATGTACCTGTCACACTCTTTGAATAGATTCATCCGTACGCTCATTTTGGATGCTGCGGTTTGTGCTGCATTATACAAAGAGGTGTGTCTGTTGTTCGGCCTACCCTCATTTATTTGAATGGCTTAGACAAAATAAGAGGAACGCCTGTCAACGTAAACACAATGCAGTTCAACAGCACCACAGACCACATCCTTCAAAATGACCCAACACCTCTTTAACAAAGTTTAAACAACTGAACATTGAAACCTTGATGAAGGAGGATTTATTGCAGGACTCTTGTGTTAGACTGCATTAGTTTTAGCTAGGTGTCCCTAATAAACTTACATTTGAGTGTACTGTCACAGGCATCTGGAACCGAGTGCTGCATTATAGTTCCCTGCCTACATCTGCATCTGTATTGCATGATTTCCTAAAACTAATTTTGTGTTCAGGCTCATGCAAGTAAAAAACACATGGAATAACAGGATGCATCGGTAACAAATGTATTTGAGTGTATTTTTTTTCTTAGGCGTCATAGCTTAATGTCCACACTTACTGTTCCTGAAATAAGAGGAACAAACATATGAAGCAAAAAAGACATAACCACAGCTCGCCCTACCCTCTTGCAGGGGCTTCCCAGTAGGCCTGTGTTGTTCAGACTGTTGGTGCTGTAGTGCTCCACCAGGTCGATCAGGGAGCTGAAGTGGTGATTGTGGTCCGCGTGAAAATTACCCTCATCTGTTTGGTGGATTTTAAAATGCTTCACCCGACCGCTTGACCTCACTGCAGAGATATATACGCACACACACACACACGCACACACACATACACACACACACAAAGACAGGAACAAGCAGATGTGGTTAAGAAATAAAACCCAAAGATCCTCTTACATTTTTCTCTATTAACATTTGTTTTTTTAATTATTAAATCATTGTCTAAAATGTGGAAAAAACATTCCCAGTATATAAGAGAAGTGAGAAACTGAGAAATACTGACTTCACACAGTCCAAGAGGAACTTAATGTAATTCCAATTTTTTTTGTTATCAGTTTTTTAATGCTGTAGTTAAATATGTCTGTTGGAAAGCCCAAAACTGGTTTGTCTGTAAATGTTTCTCAAATGTTTATTTTAGATTAAGGTTTCATTTTTGCCCCTGACGATATTTCCAGTGGAGAAGAAACTGTAAACGATGATTTTGTGTTAGTGGTCAGACAAGTTATAAACAGACTAAAGCACCTTTTTGTTGAAGAGAAAACAAAGGTGAGCAGTGCAGACAGTTTTCATGTGCAATGTGGGATTATTACCAACATTTTGGGTGCTCTCACTTTAGGTTTTACCACCAAGTGGTTTATATACTCTGGATAAACTAATGGTTTATACAGCAATGGACTTGGTGAGTGCACTGTTATACAATACAAATACAAATGACAGATACACAGTTATGAAAAGTTGTAATAAATCAGAATTAGCCTTCATGCAAATCTTTAAATCCATATAGGGATATGCATATAGGGATAAAATCTTATTATATAATATGTAATTAGCACAAACTGAAGTTAATCCTGTGATAGACTGGCAACCTGTCATGGTGTACCCTGCCTCTTGCCAGATGAATTATTGTATAATACTGTATTATAGGAGTATAATACGTTGGCCCCTCCACTCTGGAAGCCACTAGGTTATGTTGAAAGGTACGGATTAGTAAACTGCATGAAATGATGGCAAACACAAACACTGACATTTTCTGTGGTTACGCTTGTGCTGCTGCTCTTTGGAAGCGCATCAGTTCAGTCAGAGAATGTTAAACTGAATTAACACATTCATACAACTACCCATGTCTGGTAACGTCATTCCTTTTTCTACTACTCTCTACTCTACTGTGTTCTGATATCATATAAAATGGAAGGGCAGAAACATCAATTTTATGGTTTTATGGGTAGTTACTGTAAGTTCCAGACAATTTCTTGGCTGTGAGCAGTTGACCAACACTGTTACACATTAACACTGAAAAACAGGGGACTGCCATTTTTACATGTTTTTTGTAGGATTAAACAAATGAAATATAACGTTTTAATGAGTGAGCTTTAGAGGTGCTGGTAGGTGGATTTTGTCATTGGGCAGAGCCTGGCTAGGTGTCTGCCCTGTTTCCAGTCTTTGTGCTAAGCTATGCTAACTGGCTGTAGCTTCATGTTGAACAAAGAGATGTGAGAGTGGCATCAATCTTCTCATCTAGCAAGAAAGCCAACAGGCATGTACAGTATTTCCCAAATGTCTATTAATTTAATTTAATGAGTGTAGTGTGCAGCAAGAGTTTCACTTTTGGCTCATGAACAGGGTCATTATGGAGTCTCATTATCTGCCTTATTTGAGACATCTGAACCATTACAAATGTGTTAGAATTGAATTTTTATTTCTATATTGAGAATGTATGTGTGGAAATCTCTTGTTAGCGTTCCTTGTTGGCTGGATGATCATCCAACAACCAAACTCCCTTTCCTGGATCTCTTTGTTTGTTCTGTTTGTGAAACTCTTTGACACTGACATGATATGCTTCCTGTGCTCTTTTGGGGTTTTCTTCTTCACCCCTCCCCTCCCCTTCTTGTCTTACCTGAAAGAACATATCCAACATTGTCTTTCTCACTGCGTCGGATGAGGAAAGCTCCCTCTTCATTTCCTGGTCCTAGCAGGTGGCTTTGGGCCTCAAAGCGATTCATTGTCCCAAAGAACCATCTGGATCAATATAGACAGAGATAAATCAAAGTTATTCTTATTAGGATGTGGTTTCATGGCTTCAGAAGCTTTCTGCCTCAGGTTATCATCACCTCAGCTATTAAATGCTGTGTTGGAACAGCAGTGAATGCACCGCACTGTCCTCTTGTCTCTCAATCACATAAAATGTATCTTAGAGTCACAAGACGACGCTGATGTCAGCTGCAGAACAGTAACTCCAGTTAATCTTTAGTATTTATAAGTGAACTTTGTCAATGATGCTTTTGTAATAATGTTTTATATCTGTGCCTTTTTGGTGACAGACTTGGCTCTAGTGTAGACTTACAGCAAGTCTGACTGAATTAATATTTACAATTAGTCTATGTTGTTTGTGGAAATCCTGTGGCTGGTTTCACTAGATATTTTAGACAAGTCTTTGTGTTAATTTTGGTGTTCTGTGAACTAAGAGCGATATTTCCATGATAATAATAGGGGAAAAAGGACTACTGAGTCCTGCTTCATTAAGAATCAACAGTATATGAGCTCTGGTACAGGTCTGCACTGAGGCTTCATGCTACAGGAATTTTATTTAGTACTTTAAGACTTATTGCTAAAGTTTTGTGGTAAAATGTCCTTATAACTGTTGGATTCCTCCAGAACTGAGAAGTTTGTTTGGTTTTTTAGTTTTGAAAAAAAATGAACTGCAACTAAGAACTAGACAGATCAAGAACTCGACAGCTTTGTGCAACAGATGAATTTAGACATCTGTCTGAAGCCAGACTGTTAGTTTGATCTAAGACATTGTAAGACATTGGCACTTGACTTTATTAACTTGTTGTACAGCAACCTGTCACAAACACATAATCTGACTCAAATTTTCATTGGTTGGACATTTATTGTGATCCACATTACTAGAGCTGAATTAATGTCACTTAACAGAAATATAATCAGCAACTACTCTGATGAAAGATTGATAATTGAAGTCAATGTTCAAGCAAAGATATCAAACATTACCCACAATTCCAGGGCTTCTTAATTGTGAGGATTTTACTGCTTTTATTGTCTCAGGTAATAATAAGATCTCAATGGGTTTAGTTTTTGAAAAGCTCCTTGGACAAAACAAAGAACCTGTCATTTGGGCTTCAGAAAACTGTGACATAATAACTAGATAACGTAATCAATAATGAAAATAATTGTTAGCTGCAGTTTTACACATTACCAGAGGTGGAAGCAGAATAACCAACCTGACTCTTAAATACGCCAAAACAAACCATTAAAATAATTTTTTCAAATAATAATGGTAACTAATCTTCTTAGTATTGTATCAAGCATAGGTTTTTAACTGGATGACAAACAAGATAAGGTAATTTAGTAATAAAAAAGAGCAACTCTCTAATTAATTGCAGCACCTGCTGACATGTAACCATGTTTACACACTTCTCAATCTGCTGAAGCAATAAACAGATAGAGAGCGAGTAAGAGAGAGAGAAACAAAACAAGAAGTGGTGAGTGACTGTCATCATGTTTGTGTCCCAGTTTGCATCACTGCTAAGAGACACACACACACACAGATATGGGACTGACATTATGAAGGGTGTTGGTGACATTTCTCACTGTTATTTACAGCTGAGGGCTGGGGGGTAAACTGTAGGCCCTGATGCAGAATAATAAGAAAAATCAAAGGAGATATCTCATTGTATGAAGTTGTAACTTCATGCTCATTTGCTGTAGTGACAGAGGGAACTTAGCATAGCAGCAGGTTATGGGGAAGTCAATGCATTGTTTTTTATCCAGAGCAGTTATGATAACACATTTCCTTGTTAACCTTAAGTGTGGTCAAAAATGAGGCTGAAACATTCCTCAGCTGTAAACAAGATACTGATTAATGGAAGTGGAGGCAGAACAGAGGTTTCATCAAAATGGATTGCATTAAACTGCTGCAATCTATTATAAAATCACTGCAGTGAATTATAGATTGGAGATAGATTAGGGGCTGTACTTTCAACTGTTAAACTGTGTTTATGTGCAGAACAAGTCAGTGCGCAGTGAATTGGAGCAGTAAGAAGGAGCAGAGTTGACCCACAGGTCTGCTGAAGTTGTAAAGTTGATAATGGCTGGAGACAAGCATGAGATATGTTTACAGTTAAAGAGTTGGGGAGACAGGCAATGGTTTTAACATGGGTCAGTTTTAACACTTCCAATTTCTCGTATTAGGAACAAGTTACAAATCACCCGATTCACTCTGTACATGTTCAGTGTAGTCCTTACTCCACATGTGAGAAAGTAGCACCCTGTGGCAGACACAGACAAATTTAGAAGGAAATAACAACAAATTTTGAGGAAAAAAGTTTATTTTTTATTTTTTACTTGATTCACTTTTGTAATAGCAGCCTGCTTTGTAGTTAAACTCTTTCAAACTTGTCATGTTAGATATTTTTCATGCTAGTTGTCAGTGCTAATGTTTTAGCTGTAAGTTAAGCAGTAGTCCATTGCTACAAGTCTTGGTTAGTTAGCAGCAACACATAGACACTGACTGACTGACAGACAGATACACACACTCAATACACAAATGTTCAGTTGTTGAAGCTTGTGAACACCTGCACCTTTTGTTCAGTTTTATTAGTCTATTATTATCAAATGTCTTATCACTACCATGACTGATAGTGACTAACATAACATACTTGGCAGGCACATGCAAGCAAGCACGCATGCACGCACGCGCACACCAATTATGTTAAAAAGCCATTTAAGTATTGAATAAAAAGCTCTCAATGTAAAGTTTTTGTTAGAATCCTTATATCATGTTACATTTCACCCTAGGATATGTTACAACTGTCCTGGACTATGGGGTGAATTGTAACATTTCACTTCTTGTGTTTGGGACTAGACCATGCATTTCTGTTTGTTGCAGATATAACACCTACATCATTTAATAGCAGACACGTTTTTGGAATGTACTGGCTTAAAAGAGCTCCAAGATTCATTCAGAAATGTCAAAAATGTAACAACAATCCCCGGTCTCCCCTAGTTTGTTTCTGTAACACTCACGGTTGCATTCTCAGTGACTCGGCCCTGGCCAGGTAGTTGTTGGGCACTATCCCGGTGTCCAGGACTCGCCCGTTCTTGTCGATTTTCCGTGCGGTCCACCAGTCCCCGTTGCGGCTGATGACGCTGAACAGATCCCCCTCCTGGAACGACAGCTCATCCTCGTGCCGGGCCTCAAACGGCCACACCGCCGTGTAGATGGAGCTGTGCTCGGGTTGTCTCTCCTTTGACGACGGCGGCGCCGGGCTCGGAGGTCTCACCTCACCGCCGCCGTCACTGCTGCTGTCTCTTCCTCCTCCTCCTCCTCCTCCTCCTCCACTATCACCACTCACTCCTCCTCCTGGAGAAGGCTTTTTGTCACTGAAGATCCTCTGCCACAGTGCTTCCAGACATGGACAAGCTCTCCGCAGACACTCACCCATAGATAACCATGAATAGCCTCCTTTACCCGTCTGCCTCTGTGCGCGTTACCAAGTCAGTCGACTGCACCTGTCGGACAGGTAGAGAGGTTGGAGCTCCAGGAATCCTCGGAATGCCTCAGAGAGAAACTGCAGCCTGCTGCAGGGTTAATCCTGTCTCTGCTGCGCTCAGACGACTGACAACAACTTCCTCATGACAGGCAATAATAAAATGCGTGTGAACCCCGCCTATCTGACAGAAGCCTCATAAATCTTACACTAGGTAATGGCAGGTGGATAACGCACATACTGTAGGATATGTAGTGTTGTGTTGTCATATGTTGGACAGATATGTAAATGGATGTAGTTGCTAGATGGGTAAAAATGCACTCCCTGACCAATTTAGTAGATACACCTGTAAAATCTAATCTCGAACTGAACTGCATTATATTGAGAGATGTTTCTAATGTTTTAAATCACCAGCCACTATAGAGGTTTTACATCATAACTATCTCATATGAGGTAGCAGCAGATTTCCAAGACTGATGTACTGATGTGTTTTTAAGTAAAAATATAACTAGACTTTAATGGTTCTTTTATAATCTACTGTTAGAAGTATATAGATAGATATGTTAGTGGCCAGAGGAATTATTTATTAAATCATACATAGAACAAGTCCTTAATAGGTGGGAAGTGTCCATATAAGGAGGGAAATTGCTGTGCAATGCCAAAAAGTGTCAAAAATGTCATAGTATAATATGGCATGAAGTGTCAACAAAAGTCACAGTATAGTAAGGCATAAAAGCTTCATAAAATATCATAGTATGATATGGCATAACGTGTCAACATAGGTCAAACTATAGTGAGGCATTAAAATATCATAAAATATCATAGTATAGTATGGCAAAAAAATGAAAAAATGTCAAAGTAATGTATGATATTAAGATGTCATAGTATAGTAAGGCCTAACAATGTCAAAAAATATCATAATTTAGTAAGGCATAAAAATAAGAAAAAAAGTCATAGTGTAGTATGGCATAAAAATAAAAAAATGTCATAGTATAGTAAAGTATAAAAATATGAAAAAATGTCTTAGTAATGTATGGTATCAAGATGTCATAGTATAGTAAGGTCTAAAAATGTCAAAAAACATCTAAGTTTAATAAGGCGTTAGACTAGTGCGGACTAGAGACCAATACATGATGAACTGATGAAGCCGCTTGGATAAGAGGCGAAACGTCTTCCACAGACAAATACAAGTCCAGTTGCCTTGGATTTAATTTGAGAGATAACTATGACCTGGACGAATGAGAACATTCAAAGACAAGGCCTAAAAGTGTCAAAAAACGTCATAGTTTAGTATGGCATAACAATGAAAAAATGTCATAGTATAGTAAAGTATAAAAATATGTGAAAATGTCTTAATAATGTATGATATCAAGATGTGATAGTATATTAGGGCCTACAAATGTCAAAAAATATCATAATTTAATAAGGACTAAAAATGTCAAAAAACATCATAGTATAGTGTGGCATAAAAATGAAAAAATGTCATAGTATAGTATAAAAAATATGAAAAAATGTCTTAGTAATGTATAGTATGAAGATGTCATAGTATAGTAGACTTAAAAATGTCAAAAAACATCCTAGTTTAGTAAGGCCTAAAAATGTCAAAAAACGTCATAGTTTAGTATGGCATAAAAATGAAAAAATGTCATAGTATAGTAAAGTATAAAAATATGAAAAAATGTCTTAGTAATGTATGGTATCAAGATGTCATAGTATAGTAAGGCCTAAAAATGTCAAAAAACATCATAATTTAATGAGGCCTAAAAATGTGAAAAAACGTCATAGTATAGTATGGCATAAAAATGAAAAAATGTCCTAGTATAGTAAAGTATAAAAATATGAAAAAATGTCTTAGCAATGTATGGTATCAAGATGTCATAGTATAGTAAGGCTTGAAATTTGTAAAAAAATATAATTTAATAAGGCCTAAAAATGTCAAAAAACGTCATAGTATAGTATGGCATAAAAATGAAAAAATGTCATAGTATAGTAAAGTATAAAAATATGAAAAAATGTCTTAGTAGTGTATGCTATCAAGATGTCATAGCATAGTAGGGCCTAAAAATTTCAAAAAACATCATAATTTGATAAGGCCTAAAAATGTCAAAAAACGTCATAGTATAGTATGGCATAAAAATGAAAAAATGTCATAGTATAGTAAAGTATAAAAATATGAAAAAATGTCTTAGTAACGTATATTATCAAAATGTCATAGTATATTAGGGCCTAAATATGTCAAAAAACATGTTAGTTTATTAAGGCCTAAAAGTGTCAAAAAACGTCATAGTATAGTATGGCATAAAAATGAAAAAATGTCATAGTATAGTAAAGTATAAAAATATGAAAAAATGTCTTAGTAACGTATATTATCAAGATGTCGTAGTGTAGTAAGGCTTAAAAATGTCAAAAAACATCTTAGTTAATTAAGGCTTAAAAGTGTCAAGAAATGTCATAGTATAGTATGGCATAAAAATGAAAAAATTTCATAGTATAGTAAAGTATAATAATATGAAAAAATGTCTTAATAATGTATGATATCAAGATGTCATAGTATATTAGGGCCTACAAATGTCAAAAAATATAATAATTTAATAAGGCCTAAAAATGTCAAAAAACGTCGTGGTATAGTGTGGCATAAAAATGAAAAAATGTCATAGTATAGTATAAAAATATGAAAAAATGTCTTAATAATGCATGGTATCAAGATGTCATAGTATATTAGGGCCTACAAATGTCAAAAAATATCATCATCTACTAAGGCCTAAAAATGTCAAAAAACGTCATAGTATAGTATGGCATAAAAATGAAAAAAATGTCATAGTATAAAAATATGAAAAAATGTCTTAGTAATGTATGGTATCAAGATGTCATAGCATACTAGGGCCTAAAAATGTCAAAAAACATCTTAGTTTAGTAAGGCCTAAAAATGTCAAAAAACGTCATAGTATAGTATGGCATAAAAATGAAAAAATGTCATAGTATAGTAAAGTATGAAAATACGAAAAAATGTCTTAGTAATGTATGGTATCAAGATGTCATAGCATATTAGGGCCTAAAAATGTCAAAAAACATCTTAGTTTAGTAAGGCCTAAAAATGTCAAAAAACGTCATAGTATAGTATGGCATAAAAATGAAAAAATGTCATAGTATAGTAAAGTATAAAAATATGAAAAAATGTCTTAGTAACGTATAGTATCAAGATGTCATAGTATAGTGAGGCTTAAAAATGTCAAAAAACATCTTAGTTTAGTAAGGCCTAAAAATGTCAAAAAACGTCATAGTATAGTATGGCATAAAAATGAAAAAATGTCATAGTATAGTAAAGTATAAAAATATGAAAAAATGTCTTAGTAACGTATAGTATCAAGATGTCATAGTATAGTGAGGCTTAAAAATGTCAAAAAACATCTTAGTTTAGTAAGGCCTAAAAATGTCAAAAAACGTCATAGTATAGTATGGCATAAAAATGAAAAAATGTCATAGTATAGTAAAGTATAAAAATATGAAAAAATGTCTTAGTAATGTATGGTATCAAGATGTCATAGCATATTAGGGCCTAAAAATGTCAAAAAACATCTTAGTTTAGTAAGGCCTAAAAATGTCAAAAAACGTCATAGTATAGTATGGCATAAAAATGAAAAAATGTCATAGTATAGTAAAGTATAAAAATATGAAAAAATGTCTTAGTAATGTATGGTATCAAGATGTCATAGCATATTAGGGCCTAAAAATGTCAAAAAACATCTTAGTTTAGTAAGGCCTAAAAATGTCAAAAAACGTCATAGTATAGTATGGCATAAAAATGAAAAAATGTCATAGTATAGTAAAGTATAAAAATATGAAAAAATGTCTTAGTAATGTATGGTATCAAGATGTCATAGCATATTAGGGCCTAAAAATGTCAAAAAACATCTTAGTTTAGTAAGGCCTAAAAATGTCAAAAAACGTCATAGTATAGTATGGCATAAAAATGAAAAAATGTCATAGTATAGTAAAGTATAAAAATATGAAAAAATGTCTTAGTAACGTATAGTATCAAGATGTCATAGTATAGTGAGGCTTAAAAATGTCAAAAAACATCTTAGTTTAGTAAGGCCTAAAAATGTCAAAAAACGTCATAGTATAGTATGGCATAAAAATGAAAAAATGTCATAGTATAGTATAGTATAAAAATATGAAAAAATGTCTTAGTAACGTATAGTATCAAGATGTCATAGTATAGTGAGGCTTAAAAATGTCAAAAAACATCTTAGTTTAGTAAGGCCTAAAAATGTCAAAAAACGTCATAGTATAGTATGGCATAAAAATGAAAAAATGTCATAGTATAGTAAAGTATAAAAATATGAAAAAATGTCTTAGTAACGTATAGTATCAAGATGTCATAGTATAGTGAGGCTTAAAAATGTCAAAAAACATCTTAGTTTAGTAAGGCCTAAAAATGTCAAAAAACGTCATAGTATAGTATGGCATAAAAATGAAAAAATGTCATAGTATAGTAAAGTATAAAAATATGAAAAAATGTCTTAGTAATGTATGGTATCAAGATGTCATAGCATATTAGGGCCTAAAAATGTCAAAAAACATCTTAGTTTAGTAAGGCCTAAAAATGTCAAAAAACATCATAGTATAGTATGGCATAAAAATGAAAAAATGTCATAGTATAGTAAAGTATAAAAATATGAAAAAATGTCTTAGTAATGTATGGTATCAAGATGTCATAGCATATTAGGGCCTAAAAATGTCAAAAAACATCTTAGTTTAGTAAGGCCTGAAAATGTCAAAAAACGTCATAGTATAGTATGGCATAAAAATGAAAAAATGTCATAGTATAGTAAAGTATAAAAATATGAAAAAATGTCTTAGTAATGTATGGTATCAAGATGTCATAGCATATTGAGGCTTAAAAATGTCAAAAAACATCTTAGTTTAGTAAGGCCTGAAAATGTCAAAAAACGTCATAGTATAGTATGGCATAAAAATGAAAAAATGTCATAGTATAGTAAAGTATAAGAATATGAAAAAATGTCTTAGTAACGTATAGTATTAAGATGTCATAGTATAGTAAGGCTTAAAAATGTCAAAAAACATCTTAGTTTAGTAAGGCCTAAAAA